CAAGTTTGTTGTTTTTTTTTTTTCCCCTCAAGGCCCATTATAGGTCCTGCATTACCGCCTGGCTTTAGGAAACCTTCGCAGGACACCATGAATAGCAGATGTTCCATAGGACCACCTGTTTCATCAGAATTCCGTACCCAGGTTTGTGAAAACAGAAGCCTTTTGTTTTAGTACAAGCTATCTGAAATGCTTAAACAAGTCGGAGCCTGAAAAAGTCTACTAGACATACTTTTCAGCATGACAGTTTAATTTTAGACCAGAAAGTGTCTGGCATATTTTTGCCTGAGTCAAATACTGAAGCATAAATAAGCCTTAAAAAAGGAAAAGGCTGGTCTGGTTTGTTGTGATTTTGCTGTTAGGCGGCTGATGCACGCACTGAACGCAAGAGATCTAGGCATCCTAAACTGCAGTCACGGTAATTCTTCCTAATGTTTTTCCATTCTTTCTTTTGGTGTGACGTCCTTCACAAGTGCAAGTGAGCATCTTGGCGAAGTTCAAATTTTTAAGGATATTAAAGAAATAATGCAACTTGTTAGAATGAAAATATTTACCTGTAATTCAAGCTTTTACTCCTTTGCTGATGGGGGAGCAGAATGATTGAATATTTCACATACCTTCACCTCCTTAAAAACGTTTGTTAGTGGATGTGTTAAATAAGTTTATCCAAAAGAATGCAATCAAGAATGACGCCACAGTGTCACTAATTGTTCTTATCGATAGCAAGATGATACCTGTAACTGGGAGTAAGGCGGAGCAGGACAGTGACACTGACACAATTTTTTGGTTTGTGTTTTTTGACTGTTCTCATCAGGTTAGGTAATAACTAGGTGGAAGTCCTATAGTCTAATCCCTAGCCGCAAAATAATGCGTGTACTACTAAAGAACATTCAGGAATAAGATGTGTGATAAAATACAGCTAGAAGTATGGGGAAGATTGAGCTCCCTAAACACGGGCCTCTAGTACCATTCTGAGGGATCTGAATCGACTGCAGCGGGCTGGCAGGTAGGGAGTAACACCTCAGAGAAGCTGCGTCCTTCTTGAGCAGCACCTCTTAAGCCGGGCAGGGTACCCGAAGATATCAAGAACGGTGCTGGATACCAGTGTTTAGGCAATCGAATCTCTCTCATGCTATGATAAACTAAATACTAATTCCTTGTGAGAATTAACAATTTATTTCTAAAATACTTACATTTTTAAATTTAACTCCCAGACACTATGGGACGTGCTAGACACGCTAGGAAGGAATGAGGCAAAGGCTGCTCTGGAACTTCACTTTTTTGATTAGTAGTTGCAAAATATATCATTCTCCGGCCTCTTACAGCGAGCGTTGTCATAATCCTTCATGAAGAATGATTGTCTGACATTTCAAGATACTCATCATCTTAGAACTCCAAATAACGATTAAGCAATTTATCATAATGACAAATCTCTTGAGGCAGGGATGTCAAAACTGGTCTGCTTATATATTTTACAAACGAAAAAGTCTCTTTTCTCCTAAATAGATCTTCTACCATCAGCTTTGTTACAGCTGTTACAGAACTTAGCTTATTTTTTTTCGCTTCCTAATAATGCTCTTTTTTTTCTACCTTTGAATATGATGAGTAATTTTTTCTGTTTATTTTAATTTATTTAATTATTTTGTATTCTAGTACATCTTTAGAGGCAGCTTATTCCATGCTGACTCTTCACTTTATATTGATTTCCCCTTCAAACTTGAAGGCAGTATTTTTTAATGTTTGTTTAATTTCATCTTGTTTGAGGCAGGTGGTAATGGAGTGAATTGAACTTAAGACTAATGAGAAAAGAAATGAGACACGCTCCTTCAATTAAAAGTCAGCGTGACATTTGTCTTTCATCCTCAACTACTTTCCCATACAATTTGCTATGAAAGTCTCATATCTTTGCATTTTTTATTTGTTTGTACACAGAGAGGGGGAAGTGGTTTACTACCTTGGTTTCTCAAGATGGTTATTCCTCTTTTGCATCAGCTCCTTCTTTAAAAAAATAGAGAGAGAGAGCATGCAGTCACCCGATTCTCTAAAAGTTGAAGCAATATTGCAGTGGTAGATAATTAGTGAAAACTTGACTATGTAAATGTTTTTGAGAAAAATGACAAGAGAAATTGGTGTTACCACCTTGCATTGGTGATGTTTATAAATGACCAGCTATTTCTCACCCTCCTCAGTCTTCAGATCCGTTTCATGCAACCGGTCATACAGCCGTTAAATTTGCTAAGCCTCTTCTTGCACCTTGTGGTCCACAGCCATATGTAGCTGTGTCTCTTGCTACCTGAAGCTTGGCTTCCCCGCTCTTCATACCTTTGCTGACTCCTAAAGGCAGACAGGGCCAACTGGCTTGGCTAGCTTGGAGCAGTGTCATTAAAGCACGCCGGTTTCTGTAGCAAGCGGCACGCATAGGGGTAAAGTAGCTTATTTCACACCTGCTGTCTTCCTTAGCCCAGATCCCTCTACAGCAGGGGGATGCCAGCTACGAGCAGCCTGAAGTATTCGGCTTGAACTCAGCGTAGCTTTCCTGCTTTCTGCCTCCTTTCACTCGTCCTCCATTCCCCATGCTCCCATTCATGCTCCCGTTAGGTGACTCTTCCAGTGAGGTTCTGTACTCCGTTCTTGTATTCTCCACTGGGTCACCTCTGCCTCGGCCGCCTTATTTTACATAGAAGGCTCCTGATACTGTTTTTCCACCGCTCATCGCTCTTGAGCCCTCGTCTTCTCTGATGGTGTCATATCTTGCTTCTAGGATGTCCACCAAAGTTTGGCATGACAAAAACGAGTCATTCCCCCCCACATTCTTCATCCTTCATTTGAAACTTCTTTGCCACCACCTTATATTCTCAAGTAATGCTCTGTGCTTCCTGAGTATACAGCCTCGTTGTCATCCTACCCCCCTTGCTTTATCACCCACATTCAGGCTGTAGCTAAATCTTTTCACTTTCGTAGCTATTGGGCACCTTAGCTTTGCTTCCAGGGCACTGTGGCGTCACCATTTTCTGTCTAGTTCTGCCTCCATCCACATCTGTACTGTTTTAACTTGGAGGGACCTGTGAGCTTTCCTTACAGCCCCTGGCATCCACAAAGGTTCTTGTTAACGTCTGTTCCCTTTCAAACTTAGTTTTTTGAGCCGTTCTCCAAATAATTGCTTAGAATGCAATGTCAAAAAGGGATCAAAGTAGTGAGTGACAGAACCAAGAGATTAGACTGGCAGGTACTGTACACCCAGGGGTGTAGTACCATGCATGCCACTGTACCCTAGCTTCCATGTTAATCTTTCTAGCATCCTTAGAGAATCTGAGCTCGAGACAGTTCTCCTTGCAGCACAAAATTGCGATCCTTATTACAGAGATGCATCCAAATGTTGCTAGTGATGGTAAAGCCCAAAGCATCAAAGATGCATGCCTGTGTGTTTCAAATTTCCCCGTGGCCACAGAGGCCATGTGGCTGCGTGCAGAGCAATGTAAGGTAGCAGGACTCTGTGTACTGCCACTGTGTTTACCAGCGGTTTTGCCTCAGACAAGAGATGGTGCTTTTGGAAACATGGAGAGTAAGTATCCATGTTAAAGTGCTAGAACGGGTCCAATCTGGAGTTTTAATCCAGGTTTTTGTTGTCTGACTGGCAGATGCGTTGCATTAGGTTTATATGCTCTTCTAGAAAAAATCATTCTAATCCAACGAAACTAAAGTGTTTCTTGATGGCTTTAGCACTGTGGTTGAGAGAAATGTTTTACTTTTGGAAGGTAGCAGATAGTAGTGAGGAAGAAGACAATCTTATAGGCCCAATGCCTGCAAAAGGACCAGTGGAGTCTGATGTGACTAAAGAATTTGAACGCAGAGCTCAGAGAATGAAGGAAAAACTTACTTCAGCAGACAGCGTAAGTTGGATTGCTTAATTTCTAATATTTTGTTCCTGGAGTGTATTTATGTTTTTCTTTGCCTATTTCTGTGTGAACCCAGATGCAGTTCTGCTCGGGATGCTAAGTGTTTGCAATTGTTAAGACAAAGAAAAATCTATGGTTTCTGCTGGAAGCTAAGAGATTCAGACAGCAATTTTTGATTATGCCTTTTTTACTCTCCCCCCCGCTATTTCTTTTGTAAAGGATGAACCCAAGCAAGTTACCAGGGAATCGTGGATGACAGAGCTTCCACCTGAATTGAAAAGCTTTGGATTTGGCCCAAGAACATTCAAGAGAAGAGCTGATGACAAATCGGGTGATAGATCTATTTGGACAGACACTCCAGCTGACAGAGAGAGAAAAGCCAAGGTGAGCATTTATTCATTCGTATACACCTGCAGGCAGTATATATGTTGTTGACATTCTGTGAAAACAAAGTAAAGATACCCTGAGCTGTTCAATTAAATTTTTCTTCCAGATTTTTCTTTGTTATCAAAACTTACTAAGTCAGGCTTAAAGGTAAAAGCAAGGAAATAATGATTTTAAGTAACATTGATATTCATTTTTTCCCTCTCCCTTCTGCAGTAGTCAGGTACTCTGTATCAGCTCATTGAATTTCCAATTACAGCGTGTCCAGTTTCTTCCTTTATCGGGCTGAGCAAAAAATATCTGGTGGCCTGTATTGTAGCCTCTACCCTTCAGATTTAATTAAAGTAAATATAGGTTTCCTTGCTTTTTACTTCAGCCATTCTGATTACTATAGCGCGTGATTTGCTTCTACTCATCAGGAAAGAGAAGAGGCAAAAAAGTCAACCAGTAAGGATAACGAAGAAATTGTGTTATCTGGGAGAGACAAGAGACTTGTTGAGCAGGTGACTTCATACAATGTAAGTGTAATAGCAAAATACTTCCTCTTCCTGCATTTCCTTTAATTCTTCATTCTTTTCTTCTGGTTCTGATTTCTAGTGCTGCTGGTTTCCATGGTGATGCCACTGCAGTCTTCCCTTTTAGTGCCCAAACCTGCTGCTGTTGAAGTCCTTAGAACATTTGCCATGGACTTCAACAGCAGCAGGATTGGGTCCTGAAGCTGCTGCTGCAAACGGTGTGACAGAATTGGGGTTTGTGTGTATTGTCTCAGTTTTAGGTGGTGTTTTCCTTAAAGCAACCTCACATCAGGACATGGTTGCTGGGAGCAGACAACCTTAATTCAAATATTAGCTTGCTTCAGCGAATTACCAACATCCCAAGAATAAAACAGTAGTAAAGGTTTAACTTCTAGGACAAAATATGCATTAACCCAGAAGCAGCTTGATGGGCTAAGCAGATCAATGCGTTAATTACACTATGTAATTAATTACATTAACTGCTCATTACAACAGCATCATTACATGAAGTTTTCCTCAATCTCTGCAGAAGCACATAATTTGCACAGACAGACGTTGCTTACTAGAAATCTGAGCTCCATGTCAAATTCCCTCTCGACTTTTCTGTCTGCCAGCCCTGTCCGCCAGAGTATATGGACTGTTGCCTGCCTTACAGCTGTTCGTTCCAGTTCTTCCCTGATTTATGGCCTGAAGTCTTATGGAAGGCAATCTGGTCTCCTGAGAGTATAATTAACTTGAGAATTGCAGCCTCGGCTTATATTACATGATTGAAGTTTATCTGGCACTTTTAATAATTTATTGGTAGTTCATTAAATCACATGTCCCTCTTGACTTAGAGGCTTGCAAATCCAGAGCTATTAGCATACTGTCTTAAATGTCTTCTATATTGTCTGTTTCTACTGTCATTATGAATATAGTAGAATAATTTTCATATAAAACTATGGGGTTTGCTCTGTACCATTGCCAGAATAAAACATATATGGGCCTTTACTGTTTCTAAAGTTAATGGAGTTCTCTCAAAAAAAACTGAAGAAGGCATCTTGTTTAAGAACAGCGTTTCTTGGGTTGTTTTGTTGTTTTGTTTTTTTTTTTTTTTTAAATCAGCTCTTTTCTGGTTTTCAGGTGGTTGGTTTTTTTCCTCTATTCTTTCGTACTTCTTTCTCCACTGACCTTTATCAAGGATACTTTCATAGAAAGGAGCTTTAATTCTTAAAATAGTTTCTTACAGTTAATTCTTTCAGTGCTGATGCCAGAGAATGTCTATGACGCAGTTACCCCATGAATAAGTATTGTCCATTTTCTGTTTTTCCATGAGAATCATTTCTTACGACATGAGAAAACAGAGCTGCTCATCTTTTGCGCTTTCTGATGAGAGAACTGGTTTGGACCGATCTTTTGGCTGGTTTGTAACGATTTGGGAGTCTGAGAAATTGACTACTTAGGGATACACAAACGCACTTTGCCTGAGTTAAAGGAGGGGCCACAGTCTTGTGAGAACGAACCCCGCTCCTGTATGAAGTCAGCAAAAGTTTTACGTTGTATTTGGGCTGGATCATGCTCTTTAATAAACGCAACGGAAGTCCTTGACTTGACAGAACACATGCTCTAGCTCAAACCTGTGACTTTGTCCTGTGGGCTTGCAACAGATGATTCAAATACTGAAAAGTTAAGAGCACACATTAAAAACATAAAAAACACAATAGTGCACGAGCACAAGATCGAACGGGTATCCAGCTTGTTCCTGCCCCTAGCAGTGACCAAAACCAGATGCTCAGGGGAAGTGTAGAAGAAACTGGGCCTGTACTTTGAGATATTTCTCTTGCCATGTTGTCTTCATTTGTCTCTGCTAATAATGGCAGAGCAACTTTTATATTTCTTCTGCATTATTTTTGTAATTTATCTCCACTGTCTGCGGAGATTCAATAACATGATGGGTATCTTTAATGTCAGTGAATTGTTAGTATTTTATTCAGTGTAGACAAGATTACACGTGCCTTCTGCTCTGTGTATGCTAAATTTATCATTTTGTTTTCCAGTTACTAAGCTGTCTTCTTTTTCTGGAATTTTTAGCCTTCCTAATTCCAATCTTTCCATTTGGATTTTCTGTACGTTGTTGATATTTTGTAATACTTTATTTCCTCTTCCTTCTTCCTGCTTTTCCAGGAGTCAAAGAGGTCAGAATCTCTCATGGACATACATCAGAAAAAGCTAAAGAGCAAAGCGTCCGAAGAAAAAAGCAAACCTCAAGAAAGAAGGCCATTTGACCGCGACCAGGATCTCAAAGTCAATCGATTTGACGAAGCACAAAAGAAAGCTCTTATAAGAAAATCCAGAGATCTGAATACTAAATTTGAGCACAGTAAAGGCAATATGTTTTTATAACATAAAAGCATGAAGCTTTTTTGAAGTGAAGTCAATTAAACTTTGAATACTTAATTTTTTAAGTATTTTTCTGTAAATATTTGTATGCAAAATAAATATCCTGATGTTTAACTATTTTTCCTTGTCTGTAAATACTCTGTTAGGGAGGATCATCTGTACTAAAACTAAACTGGTAAAGGAAAGTCGTGGTGTAAAAAAAGATAATGTAAATTTGCTTCTTTAAAACACTGATAGATTTTTTTTGTTGTTGTTGTTAGCATAAAAATAATTAATTAAAATGGGTATTATTTTAAGGAGCTGTGGATTTGATCTTGTAACGGAGTTGGCAGTTTCCCCCTTTCTCTTGCCATGCTTAAGATATTCTCGCGGAGCCTGACCTGAAGGCCGTGGAAAAATCCCCTTTAGGCTCGTGGGCAGGACATCGCTTGACTGGAGTTCCTGCTGGGGAGTATAAACTCAAATGGCAGCTTCTATGTCCACCCAGTGCTTTTATTTCTGTGATTCTGTGTCTGTACATAAATACGGGTTTATATATATGCAGTATCATTTCTGTACTACAGCAGGAAGAGCTAGTGGTAGCAGAAGTAATAAAACCTCAAGATTTGCAGATTTAATTATAAAATGGTAGTGTACAAGAAGAGAAAATCTAATTTGAGTTTCAATTTGTAGGGCTTATCATCAGAAAATCCATCTCTTTTAAGCAAATACAATATGAAATTCAAACCAAGATAAAGCTTATTTTGTCAGTTAATTTGCAAAGCAGAACAGCTCTTTGGTATCAAAAAGGAAATAAATCTGACATTTAGAAATTCTACATCCATGCTTAGAGTTCTTTAGCTCTTCTCTGTGTGTGCAGAGCGGCTGAAGGGAGAGTTGTGTTACTTATTTAAAATTAGACTTGTACTTTCATCCTTTTTCTCTTGAGTAACGTTTGGGATCCTTTCTGAGGAGGAAAGTATCTATATATGAAAATAATTTTATATATGAGATGCCGGCAACTTGTTTGGAAGTGTGACACATTTTGCTTATTAAATACCATGGGATTCACTGTAATTTGAAAAAAGGCTACCGTGACAGACGGTGCCGGGGTTGGTTCATGTTGACGGAGCAGTGACCCAACAAGCCCCAGAAACAAACGGCTAAAAACTTGGTCTTATTTTATTGCACGTGTGCGCGAGCCCAAGGCACAGCCTCCATGTGCTCAGAGGTCTTGGAGAATTTTCGACGTCGCAAATGAATGCTTACGTACAATATATTTAGATACTGCTTTTTTTTTTTTTTTTAAATAGACAATTTATTTTACCATCTGAAAAATCTGCTGCCTTCAGGAGGAAGAGGGACTGGTTTTGTACTGTGTTTGATTTTTCTTTAATCAGTTTTGAGTCTCTGAGCCTTTTCGTTTCGAGGCAAGAGGAGGGTTTAAACACGGGCCATTTATTTTTCCTCCCCTAAAACAGACTTCTCTTAGCGCCTCGTGCTTTTTTTGCCTCAGCAAGCAAGGCCTCACTAGGTTTCTACCTTCTGAGTTGTCTCCTTTCCCTTTTTGGGGAGGTCCTCTGCAGCTGGGGGTTAAATAACATCTCTCTAGCAATTCAGCAAATGCAGATTTCTTAATTGGAAAGGCAGTATTAGGAATGTTTGGGGTTTTTTAGGCAACTAAAGCAATGACAGGGTGAGCATCGCGTGACTAGCTAAATCTTCGTGGTTGACAAAAAACCATCCCCATGCCCACTTTTGGAAACCCTACCGCCTTGAGAAATCAGTTTATTATCAGGTGTCGCCCTGTGCTGAAAGAGCTGATCTCATGAGCCCATCGCGCAGTCCTCGCTCATTCGGACAGGCCTGTAGCAGGGACGGGGGCTGCTTGTATTAAGATTTTGTTGTTACGCGCTTCGTTTTCATTTTTGTTCTTTGGTCCCTCCTCCTCCTCCGAACTGAGGACCGGTCATCAGACGGCCGGACCTTGCCGTCCGGCTGTTTCCTCGCTGCCCTCCCTGGCCCCGTCGCCGTCTCCCGCCCTCTCCGAGGACGTGTTTGAGCGGCGGCTCCGCGGGGTTGCTCAAGGGGAGAGCTCTTGTAGCGGGAGCGCAGGCAGCCCCTTCGCGGGGTCGTGCGGTGGTACGTTACGCCTCCATATGTGGGACGTATGTGCCGTTCTAATCAGTGAAGCCTTGATGTGAGTTGGGAACGTGTTTTCTCTCATCTGCTTAATCTTTTTTTTCCGCTCTGAAGCAGCCTCTCGACGACCCGATGAAATCCCTGTTACGAACTTGAGACAGGGGGAAAGTGGAACTGCTGAGAGTTCAAATTAAGCTTTTCATTACTTTGTATAAATTGAGTGAACTTTTGAATTGCATTAATACACAAACTAATCTCCTCTTACCGATGCCAAACCATTCCCTTGAACAGTCATTAGAACAAGCAGTAACTCAGTAAATTACAAGCTCTGTAAGCCTTTGTGGAAAATGATGAGCTGTCCTCTACAATTTGGACAAGCTGTAAAGCATTTCTGCAGAAATGTTAGCGGGTGATTTTTCAGAGTCTCATTTGAAAAACCAGAATGTATTTCACAGAAAATCCTCACCATAATTACTATGTAACGTTTCTGGTAACCGGCTCCCGACGCAGATTTAATGGATTCTATTGCTGTTCTGCGCTGCCAGCCTGCGTCGCAGCATATCGACTCCAGGCACATCAGGAAACTCTGTTTTGTAAAAAAAAAAAAAAAAAAAAAGTCAGGGAGGTTTTCCTGGATGTGAAAAGGCTATCAGCACAGGTTTTACAGCACTTGCCTTTGTTTTGTGCTGGCATAGACATCCTTTATTAATACTGATGTTAAAAATTCCTGCTCAAGGGTAGGGTCCCCTCCTTCTGAAATGTCAAAGAGGTGTGGAATTCATAGTGAAGTCAATAAAAAGAAGGCTTTTGCGGTAGGCATATGATAAATTGGATGTTTAAGAGGAATTTTTGAGGAATATTATACGTTAATAACAAAAAAGTAATTAAAAAAGAGCCTGTTGAGCCTGCTGTTACCAAGGAACAATTAAAAGCAATAAAGACATTTCAAGAAAACTTACTGATTTCTTTGTATGTGTCTTCAGGACAAAATATTGAGCTACGACGATGTTTGATCTGGAAAATTTTGTTAGAATATGGTACAGCAATACTGTCACCTGAGGAAAATCTCTGCTCTTCTGATTTAACCACCTATTTATGGAGAGTTATTTTTTGTGTCTGCTGTTGCAGTCAGTGGATGCACTGTGCACGCTGGCTTTTCTGGATGAAGTGCGTTTCCCAAATAGTAAACGGCAATAGAAATGCATTTCATTTAGGGCTTTGATGGTGTCATGTTGATAGCACAAAAGTGGCATTGTGGAAATAGCTTTCTTCTCAAAAGAAACATTGAGATGAAACAGTGATATGTTTCTGTCCAGTAGGAAAGGGTTTTTTCCCCATAAAAGAAGTTTCAAAATGCTCCAGAGGGCTCCAGGAGTCCAGGGCTACTCGTGCCTGGGGACTCGTTTTGTTTCTGAAATGTAAACTTTGTTATTTCTGTCCAGCCAATTATAAATTGTATGTTGATTTAAGAATAATATAGCATTAAAAATCGGAATCGGTGAAAGCTTCCTGTACGTGCATCCTTAACTTCAGCCGCCCCTCCCGCCTACAGTGCATATAGTTTCTAATTGCGTGATTACCTGATTCACAAATGAAACGCATGCATGTGATTTTCTGTCCTGATGAATTGTGTGCAGCGCTTTATATGCTGGGGGGAAAAAAAAAGAAAGTTATGCGGTGTCTTTCAGCCAACAGCTTTAGATTTTTCTCATGTGCTCACTAGCGAAGATGCTGTCTTGCTACCCGGAGCCAGTGAGGAACGCCGGTGCGGGCCTCAGTTGTTGCGCACCTGTGAAATGCATCTTCCTGATGCTTCCAGCCCTGGCAGCCGAATGGGAAGTGGTGACCCTCAACAATAACCCACCCCAATGTGGCATTTCTGTTCTTCTCAGTCGTGACGTGAAGGCTGAGGTATTACCTGTGCGGAGCTGATCTTTTCACAGCAGCCACTGCTGGGTCCTCCCACAGTGGCTGTCGCTGCAACAGGCAACAGCCCTTTCTCCATCATCCCGTCTTCGTTCCTTGTGGTTCCGATCATCTGTTTTCTTACACTGGTCTTTACACCAGTAATAAATCCCATTGCTCTTTGAAATTACACCCATTTTGAATCAGCGTGGCAAATCAAGCCTTATTTAAAAAAAAAAAATAAGTCTTTCTTTTAGAGTGGGAACTTAAGGTCTCTAGGAGACAGCAGCACAGACTGTTTGTCACTTCAGTAGGAGCAGCTGCAGCTGTGACTTCTTCCAAATAAGCAATCCAAACATAAATATTCAAAAGCAATTCTCACAAGCAGACTTTAGAGGGAGGGAAGAAAAAAAAGAAGTGGCTGGCCCAGGCTCTCGTCTGCTTGGCATTGCCATCGCTTGCTTCGCTTCATAGGGTTGTAGCCGCTTGTGCTTGCAGGAGTTCGACAACGTCCCGGCCTCGGGGCAAATTCTCTCTGTCCTTTCCTGACTGTCTCTCTCCAGGAGCCTTGCTCCCTACGTATGCCAATACCTGAGCTGCTACAAAACACGTGATGTACATCAACAAATACTTTTTGCTACGTCTTAACTTGTGTGAGCCCTGGAAGAGCCACCGCAGCTCTCCCGATCGGTCCTCCTGGTGGCCTGGCTCTAAGAACCAGCCAACTGCAGAGTTTTGCAGCTACTCCTTCATGTCTCCTAGGATCCGTCCTTAGATCTTGCTGGCCTGTGTGGGGTTGCCCCCCATCACCAGCTTAGGGTCAGGAAGGAATCTGCCTGAGCCCAGCCATGATGGGGAGAGGACAAGTGTTGAGTTATTACATCGGCCTCGGCTCATGGAAGAGAAGACCCTTTGCCCCCTGGAGCTTGATAGCGTTATCTGCTTGATAGCAGAGCTGGACGCCACCCTGAACCCAGCAGCTGCCCTGGTTAAGTCCCTCAAGCCAGACTTTGGTTCAAACACAAGGAATCCCAGAGCAGGAGAGCCCCACGGGTACATATCCGCCTTCCTTAGCCTAAGCAGCACTCCCA